CACGGCCTACTTACCCCTTTTATCATAGCGAAACGCGAATCCCTTTGTTTTCTTGAAGCCTCCATTATGCTTTCAAACATGGATAATCGACTGACAAGTCAAGTCGTGCGCAATCGTATAATAAGATATCGCAAATAAAATATTATTATACAATGAGGAAATGAAATAAGAATAAATTTCATCTATTCACTTGTGTAATCGTTAGCAATTAATTTAGATTCTCCAATTCACTATTCTTAAGACTCATGCATAGGGAACTTTAATTCAACAATTAATTCAATATACTTGAGCAAACAAAGAAGCATTTTTCGACGTTTAGAAAGTAATTTAGATGTTTTCGACATGTTCGTCGCTTGTTAAACTATTTTAATATTTTACTTCAGTATAATAATATCAAATTAATGGATCAACTTACTATTAAATAATATGTTAGAACGACAAAATAAAATTAAATTAAATAACAAAATAAAATGTTTGAAATTATAAAATATTTACATAACACATGTTTTCAGTAAATTGTGTAAATATTTTTAGTTGAATAACTAAGTTGACTCATTAATTCAATTATTATGTTGAAGTGTGTGGAAATATCAATATAGTGCAATTTGGAAGGAACATGTTGGAAATATCTAAATTTCTGTTGCAAAATGCAAACATCAAAACAACGCTTTTTTTTTCTCATATAGGATTCTATTGTTTTTAGAAACGATTTTAGAGATTTATTTTTTAGAACTGTCTATTACGGAGTAGTGCAGCATCCAACTAACCAGCGAATAGTAAACTAACGTAAAACCTTCGTACGCTAGATTCGTGCTGGGGTTAATGGAAAGATTCTATCCGGCGTGGATTGATAACGTAGCAATGGAGCCAGTTTTCATTGCCTCGAATCTTTGAAGTGTTTAAAACGAAAAGTGAATTCCCCAATGCTCGCGACGCACATACACACCCATACAAATCTGTATTCCATAATTTACCTGATAATTTACCGCAGGGATTATTACATGATGGATGCTGAGCACAGAGTCCGCAACAATCGTACATTCTGTATTACCGTAGCGTTGTAATTAATTATTTTCATTCATTATGCCGCATACAATGATGTTTGCTAGCATTAAATTAGACAACGGAAACAACTTGCAGCAGCGAATACCTGATGCTTCGATCTAAATAATTCGCTTCTGGTTAAATAAAGTGTTGAAACTTTGTTATCGAAACAAGTGCAACATTCAATGCACGCAAAATTGAGTAACTTACACGATATGCAGAACAACGTGAAAGGCTATAAATAAATATTATACGTTGTTTAAAATGAGATTAGCGTCAGATTGCCATGACCGCGTGTGCATGTTTGCGAGAGAAATATCAATTTCGGACTTCAAGTAACTAGCAATGTTTATATATTTCTTTCCTTCTGGAAATATACTTTTCCTCCTTCTCGTTTCATTAAATAACGCGTTTTTAACGAAGTTTCTGTTTAACTTCACCTAACTTTACGTCCGGAGATTAAATTTCCCGTTTATTTGCCATTTCTTTTTACATGCGGTTAAAAGACTTTTCGAAATTTGGCATCCGTGGAAACCCTCGTATTTCCAGTTCCGCCTCGATACTTTGATGAATACGAGTAGCGGCCAAACACGCGCTCGCTACTTTCAGGCTTCCAGAACTCGATTTGCCGCCACACCTACATACAAGATAGAATCGAGATGCAAGGCGTTTAGAATGCCGAACTTTTCCACGGCCGAATCGAATCCCTGGTGAAAGGAAGACCCACGTGAGAGTGGTAACGTGGATGCCTTCCTCGCACGGATCACATGCGAGTTGAACTTTCCTTCGTATAACATACCTGTTTTCGTGAATTAAAGATATTTGTACGGATACACGTTACCGTTCATGCTACAGAGCGTACTATCTTATTTCGCGCACGCTTCACCGAATGCACTTAACAAAGCAACGATTTTACACCGTATTGTTATCATTTCGTGATAATAAATTTTCGGTTTTGTATGAACAACAATAGAATGCGTAACGCAAGACAAAATGGTTAGTAATAAAAAAGATATTTCTTTCATATGATTACTTCTGACAATGAGAAAGATTCTCATTTCATCCTGCATCCTGCAGTTTCGATTAAACAAAGAGCCATATTGGAATTCAATACTTTTCACATTTATAATTTTAGATTTATTTTCTTTTAGAAAAGAGAGAGAAAAAGAGAGAAATGCAGTTTCTGATTTAGCGAGCATTATGCAGTTTTACAAGTTTTAATAACTACTTCATTTAGACAATCATATCTGATTTTTTAACTCAAGACTTATCGAAAATTTGATTTTTAACTTAGAACTGTTACAAGTACTTGTCGAAGATGTCAATATCTGAAATTAGGTTAATTTGACCTATGTAAAGCTTTCCAATTTAGAAATCTGAGAAAAAATCCAATCTTTTAGTTCTTCAAACACACTGAATAAGATGCAATCCAATTTAGAACAAAATTGAATATATGTTAGAATATTATGTATGGAATAAGAATAATGGCAAGGTAGAATCTATATGTGATGTACATTGTACGAACATATATTATGCTTCTTAAAAGATGTAGATTGGTATTCCCAGTCGATTCTTATATTTAAGACCGAATCTTAAGTAGTCTTAAGATATCATGAGCCAATCACAGAGGAGCATTAACATCTTAAGACATTACTTAAGATGGTTTTAAGAACGTATTGTAAATACCAGCCCTAATATTATATTTTCTAATTTTTCTTTTTTCCTTTAAATAATGAAAAAAATTGATACACATTTTATATTCAATAAAATTTACAAAAATCTCTCCAACGGAAACTTGATTTGGAAGTTTTCTCTTTTTGGCGCAAAACTATGAGTGTTGAAAGATTCGTTTCGTAGTAATTCCGAGGATAACATGAATAAAGTTTTGCAAATGCGACATGGACCGTCGCGTTTTCGAGATCGCATCGCGTCTGCGCTCAGCCACGCGTATCTTTTTTTTTTCCTTTTCTTCTCTTTTTTTATACGCGTTCGCATGGCGTAAAAGGCATGTACGTCCGTTATGTATCCATGGATTATTCAAATGAGGTCAGGACGAGAAGCAGGCACATTCGAGCTTACCACACCAGCAGCGCAGTCTCCTTGAATCGTAATCTGCTGTCGAGGGCAAACATCCTAAATCACCTGCGCTGCCCGGAAATAGGTCGTATCCATGAAAATTTTAACAAAGCGTGCGCGCATGAAGGAAAAAAATTCTTTTGCCCTTTATTCTTTCGGCTGTATCACAAATACTGGGAATTTCGTCCGTCGAAGCGGTGTGGCGAGGCGTGCACTCGCATTATTTAAACGATGCGAAAGATCGCAATCAAAATACTATCGCTTTCGATATCGTGGATATGCATCATGTACTGCGATCAAGTAAAAACCATACTATGCAATTTTTTTTAAATGGACATAGAATGCGGAAAACAATGGCCCACGAGAGTCAAAACACATCTAAAGTAAAAACCAAATTTTAAACCATCGCCAACCATTTTAAATCGCACATTAAATTACAAAGTGCAATACCAATCATTCTTGATGAATCAATAAAATTTTTATTTTTCACAAATTTATTGGGATATAAAGTACCTGAGCCGAATAAGATCCAGCCTAAAAAATGGCACATGTTTAAATTTATTACTTAACGCTATTTCTAACTCTAGCTAATTTATTACTAACTCTTTATGCTTAGAATATATGCTTAAAAAGTGTTCCATAGGAAGTAGATGAAAAGGGGCTAGAGAATTTGAATCAGCAGGAACACGTTTATTTAATGTAACAAAAACTTGTGACGAAGCGCATATATTTTTATGACAACTTGCTGCAAAGTTTGCCAGGTATATATACATTATTTTATATAATATATTATAATATTCAACTTCTTATGGAAAAATAACAAATAAATCGATTTTTTGTAATAAATATATTGTTTCAGAAATAATGAACTCTTATTAAATAATGCCCATTTTTGTGATTATTGTTATATGACCAATTATTATTTGTTTGTTATGTGTGGAGCTTACGTATCAGAGGTTAACGATTTTCAATGCTACAAATTTTGAGAAAGTAAAATTGCATTCAAATTGTTAGAAATTTTCAAAAATTAAAAGATTAATTTCAGACCAAATCTGAGAGATTTGTATTATATATTATATTGTATTATAATGTTTAAGAAAAGAGTAAATCTTAAGGGATTTTTTTTTATGATTAACGATCCTTTTAAAACTGACTTATGTAAAAAGATAATGTTTAGTTTCTTTGTTATTTTTAATTTATTTTTTATTTAGGTCTTATTGTATTTATACGAATATAATAAAACTCAATGTTAGAGTTAAAAATATTTTTTCGTTTATTTACGGATGTTCTATATATCTAGAAGATACTTTTCATTTTTGTGAGTGAATGGGATAGAGATTATATTTTTCACTTAGTTTATTTTAATAAATAGAATTTTAAAAAAATAAAATTAATTAGGTGGATCTAATTTGGCTCAAGAACTTTTTTTCCGTATTCCTGCATACACTGTTCAAATAATATCGCAAGATGTCGTTATGGCAATGTGCAAACTGCTCCATAACTCGCACGGCACATTTCCCCGGTGATTTACATCGAAGGAAATGAGCAAAGCACGCGAGAACACAGGTCGTCTTCTTAAAAAATTTAATAACAAGGGTAATTCAGAAAGGGTCCGAATGGAAAGTAGTTTCTAATTCACGAGGGTCGGGGTAAAACAAGCGGAATTCAGGCTTGGTTCCGCGTTTGTTTTCTCCCATCGTTCCACCGCCTTTAACTTTTATTTTTCTTTGCCTTGATAAAAAAGTTTGCTGCCGACGGCGGAACTGGCGATAGCCTCGCTCTGTAATTGCGGCGTCGTTTGTCGAGTTTCCCCCTTACCAAGACAATCAACTTAATTAAATTACCGTGATTATACCCGCTGGTCATCTTTCTTCTCTTAGATCGACGCGTGCCCTACAACATCCCGTCGGATTGGAAGGCCCTTTGGTTCAGCAATCTCGACGAACTGCAGAGAGTGAACGAGGCGAACGACAACAACACCGTTTCTAATGTCACGGTACAATTGGGTGGCACTGCCTTCCTGCACTGCAAAGTTCGCAATTTGGCGGAGAGGACCGTTTCCGATGCCGAGGTAAGAAAGCAACTATATGTAACCCTTTGCGCTGTTGCGAGAAACTCTTAAAAGAAGCGACGATTTTCAACGAATATAGGCGAATCGAGTCGTAATCGAAGCTTTCAAGTACGATAAATTGATTTCTCTGGAATGATTATTGTACTTTTTGGGTAGATGCGATTCTCTTCTCGAAATCCTTATTGTGCTTTTCTATATCTCTCATAAAGAAAGACGTAACATAAAATTTATATTTGCATGTAGAGCTATCTTGACATCTACAAGGTGAAATAAGTTGCATTGTATTGATGTACTCCAAGATGCAACTAATTTATTTGAAATAATTATCCGATGCGGATATTTAATTATATATGTTTAATTAATATTAAAGATATTAACGTAGTATATTACTCGTTTCTTGGTGAATCGAAAAAATACCAGTAGAACATTTATAAAATTCGACAGAAGTATCGATCTGTCATAATCGATACATTTTTTCTAATTTTTATTGGAAATATTTTCCGACGAATTCCAACGATTTACTTAAAGTATTATAATTATATTTAGTATCTTCTTTAGATTTAGGAAAAACGTTTTTATTTCATGATACTTTATTGTAAATCGTTTATGTATTGTAACACGTATATGAGAAGTTATGCTAATGCCTACGCAATAACAACACGAACGTAGTACATGGTTAATCTTGTCCGTGTAACCATAGAACAACTCCATACAAATTTATTCATGTACACGAGCGTAATGGCCTCCTTTCGTACATCCTCTCTGACGCTTCGAAATGGTAAGGCGATCAATGATCGCGACGCATTGAATCCTGCTGAGAGCACGGCAATCGGTATGCGATTCCACAGAAACGACGAGCTCGTCTTGGATACAGATAGATGCAGTAATGGCGCCTGCTTAATATGTCTTTATCAAGCCTCCGACTTTCTCCAAAAAATCGATTTTTTCCCTCAACGTTCTTATTTCGATTGACCATTAATATCTTATATTAAGATGGAAGAGTAAAAAACGGTGCTAGAGACATCTTTTCTACGGGTCACTATTGCATCATCTTATATTTGGGATCGATACATTAAATCGCTCAGAACCGCGCAAGATTGATGTCGGCAAAAAGCCGATGACCGCGACAAATCTGCCCCAATTCGGAAGGACATCCTTGTAACGACGATGATTTCGTACGAGAACTTAGAAACTTTCACGTAATAGTAGCGAACTAAGCTCACACAATATTAGCCATCGTAGCTTTCATCATTATAGACTTTATAGGATCAGATGTCAATGACCAAAAGTCTGTTATTGTTCAAAATTATCAAATAACAATGGTGTTCCCGAACTTTCTATTTTAAACCTTCATCTCGACGTCAAATCCAACAGACTTTGATAATGTATGATCGATATGTCCACAATGTGATCTTCATAGTTTATATGAAATTTAACTTCCATTGGGGATGTATTATTCCTTTTTTAATAATAGCAATATCTATTATTTAGATTTCCAATTTTGGAAATGTTTATCGGAGCAATTAATTAATTTGTTTGCTATTATTTTATATATAATAATTTAACCATCATTTGGTTTAATTACGATTTCTAAATTGTAATGCAAGATATCGCGCTTATATCGTGAAATTTTATATTTTACTGCAAAACAACGAACTCGCTTGTATTTGCAAAATGTCGAAATTCTCAATTTTAACGAAATTTAACTCTGATAAATTACAAGTTAAAATAATTAAATTATATTATTAACGAATGTTATTTTATGATTAGGTAATTTACAAACTCTGTTCATATAATTTCAAATGAGAAAATATCAGCTTATGAAGCTTTATGACTCATCTAATTAAACTTCAATAGCTTATGGAATGGAGGAAAAATAATATCTTATAATTTCAAAATTACTTTCCAAAACAATGTAATTTGTAAGAGTAATAAAATAAACGATATAATATCGTGATCCGTTTTATGAAAGATTTGTTGTAAAATTACTGAAAAATTTAGTGGATTTTCCAGAGAAATTTTACTTGACTATAAATAAACCGAAGATAAAATATATATCAATTATATTAGAGGTCAATTTATT